CATTAAGGAAACAAGATCTCCTACTTATTTATATTGTTTCGAAATTATTTTTAGTCTCGGAAAAAGCTATACTTATATATTATGTTTCATTTCAGCGTCTAGTGGAAGTCTCGTAGCCAATATCGAGTTGGGGCATATGGTGTACCCTCCGAACAAAGAACCACTGTCGCAGGATTTTCAATCGTGGCACCGAAATACGAGTCGCTACCGCATAAACAATCCAGTTTATTACAGCAGCATCGAATGCGGTGTTGCCAGTTACGACACAGCTGAACGCAAAAAGCTGATATTTGATGAGACTTCATCACCAGGCCAGTGGCCGTGGATAGTTGCAGTCTACCATGTTGAAATAGAAGAGTTAGAGACAACATACTCCTTTAAATGTGGTGGTTTTCTGTTCACGAACAGACATGTATTAACAGGTATGTTAATACAGAAAAGTCTATATTTCCATAGTTCATATATCGAACTAAGTGAGTTTCTCGTCTTACATCTACTTTCTTGCATGTTTATAGCAAAATTTTAATTCGTACCTATTCGTATTAAAAAACAGAATGGATTTCTTAATTTTCGACAGATATTCACAATTCATCGAAATATAATCAGGGAATGCATGATAAGATGTTTGGGATAATTACACAAATAGCTTACTGTTTTCGCGAAATTATCTGCAATACGTTCAATATGTCTCGTGATAATTATAGAAAAATCGATCTGGGTGCTGTTAATTAATTAAAATATTTCTTACAAATGTTTTATATACATTCATAAATATTCTTTGTTATACCAAATTAAGATACTTAATTTAATTTCGGAGTATCGCCTATGCGATACGGGAAGGGATTTACAGTATACCTCCGGATAGAAAGTATGGATCGTTAAAAAATATAATTTCTACGTATGTCTTTTTTACAGCGGCGCACTGTTTGAAAATGGACCTATTGAGCAACGATACAATAGACCCTAACAGGTTGCAAGTGGCAATGGGGCTATTGAGCTGGGGCAAATTGCACGGAGATGGAACTGTTAATCGGAATGTCACAATCTACAAAATTCATCCCAATTATGAGCATAATACCCACGGTGACTCCGATGTCGCGATTTTGACCCTCAGTGATCTCGTCGAGTTCAATCCTTTTATCAGGCCTATTTGTCTATGGTCCGGTTTTAATTTAATTAATCCTGTAGACCTCATCAATAGAACAGGATATATTGTGGGATGGGGTGAAGACTCGACATCTTTTGGTTCTATTGTAGAAAGACAACCGGTGCCGGCGAAGATAGTAAGTCAAGTAAGTAGTTAATTGCTATTCTAAAATTACTATTCATTACATATATCTGTGACAAATGCATTTGTCAGAGTCATTGCGGGTCTTGAGGTGAATTTTGTTGTATAAATTGCAGGAGACCTGTCTCAGGGCTGATCGTATATACCGTAACCTCATCTCGGATAACACCTTTTGCGCTGGTTTGCTAGACAGACAGGGTCCTTGTAACAGTGGGAGCGGGCTGCTATTTTTAAACACTCTCACGGGTCGTTATGAGTTGCGTGGCATTGTTTCGCGATCTTTACTCACAATCAGTAAAACTCCGTCCTGCAATCTAGGGAACTACGTCGTCTATGTCGATTTGGTCAAATATGTATACTGGATTCAACAACAGTTATATTGAAATTTTAAAAACTCTTAAAGTTCTTCAAAATGCCACGTTGTCCCAGGATCACATAATTTTCAGGATAAATTTTAAGAGAAAATTCTCTCCGTGTGTGTATATTAAAAATATTTTTTTGGAAATATGCGCAGTTTGTTATTTTTTTTAAGAGACCGCTGATCGTAGCAATAAGTTGTGGAAAACTAACAATTAGTAAAAAAAAACTGAAGAACAATATAATATATAATTAGAAAAAAAGTAAAGTAAAGAGTGCAAATTAGAAATTTGCACATGGCTTCCTCATGGAGGAAGCTTTATGAGCGAAATCTAATTTTTTTCGATGTTTCTTGAAAGTGTGCAAATTAGAAATTTGCACATTGCTTCTTTCCCCACACAGCAAAACAAGTTTCAGAAAGCTTTCCGAAAGATAACTTGGAAACTAATATTGAAATGTAAAATTGAAATCATTCAGAAATATCTTTGAAACGTTTCA